TCTCCGACTCAGGCTTGAAATGATAACAAGCATTTTTGTGACTTTAATGTGTGATGTTTTATTGTCAGATGTTTGTGTTTTAAAAAATAAAAATAAAAAAAAATAATAAAAAAAAACTTTCAAAAAATAATTAATTAATAATTTTTAATAATATGTAGAATGCATCTTTAAAGAAATCATGTATTTGATAGATGATTTTTCTTTTACAAAAAATGTTAATACGTACGTCACTGTCGTCACAGTAAAGATCAACGACGAACATAGGTACATTCAAACATATGAATAAGGTTGAAATGATAACAAGCATTTTGTGACTTCAATGTGGGACGCTTTATCGTCAGAACTTTGTCTGTTCTTATTGGAAGCCGAGAAACTTGAAATCATGTTTCTTCGGATACGATTTTGCTTGCGGATGTTGTATATTATTAGAGCATTAAAAATTATTATCACTGTTGCAGGTAAGAAAGACGTTATAATAGGATGAATAATATATAAGATCGACCAGTCTATGTATATTTTTATAATTCTCCAGAATTGTGCATATTCAATAAACCATGGGATAGAGTATAAAACTGCTACGCCCGTCAGTCCAATCACCACAATTTTCGCTCGTTTGACTGTGCACACGAAGCGACGAAGTAGCGGCCACTTGATCGCTACATATCGTTGAACAGTAAAGGCCACTACAATCCACACACTCAGAAAAGCAAATGACATTCGCAAACCATTCATATAGATCATAGAGATAGTAGACCAACGTGGCATACCACACATACAATATACTATTCTGGCAACTATAGTGTCGTATAACATCACTAAAAAACCAATGTCGCTTATTGAAAGTGCACCTAAATAGATGCTGGACGAGGAGTAACGGAGCTTCGTGCAGAAAAATATATATGCGGATAGACTGTTTCCCAACAAAGAAATGCACACTAAAATCGTTCGGTAGTGAAGTGACATCGATTTAAGAAGTTGAATCGCAATGCGTAAACGAATTTTTTCTTCATAATTCTCATAGTTTTCAGATACATTTGCGTAACTCATTTTTGCGTATTGATGATTAATGATTTTTTAAATCGTTTGCAGCAATTTTTAACGAGAAATGAGATTTATCATTGGAAACTAATTATTAGACAATAATTAAGTTATTTAAACTCATTTTTTGAAGTACATTGTAATAAGAAATGTACACTGTTGTTCACTGTGACTGAAGACCGATTAAGCTGTTTTAAGAACTGGTGCATCATATATACGGTATCGTGCGTGGTAAAACAAGTTAATTAAATTTTTTAATATGATAATTTTAATTAAATTCTTTTATTTAAACATTGTTAATTACATATATTTTCTTAATTGGAAACAATTGTAATTACTTTCTTTTTTAATCGTGTAATGTATGATTTCTGAATAACAAAAGAAACAATAAAAAATATTTCCTGTTTTCATATTCCGGGAGAACAACATAAAAATGCAAAAAAAAAGTATAAATTGAAAAACAAAGACGTATATATATAATGCGTTCATTTTTTAATATGAGCATTATTCGTAAATATTAAAAAAATAAGATATTTATTATACGATATAATTGTACCACCCTGTTTTATTATTTTATTATAATTGCATGATAACATCAGTTATATTAGTCCTTATAATTTTTGTCTTTATGTGTTTGTTTCTTCTAGTATTTGAATGTTCCGTAAACATACAGATCAATTCTTTACAAAAATTCATCCCAATTGTGCAGTAGAGAACAAAGTTTATTCTGTAATTGGCTTGTTATAGTAAGTGGCTGATAAATAGAATAAAGTCAAAATATATATTGCAGATCTGTAAACATGATTAATATCGTTATTAACTTATCGTTAAAGAATTATAAACAATAATACAGTTTTATATCAATTTTTATATCAATTAAAGTTTATATTGAGTTAAACATTAGGAATAACAGAAAAAAATTTTAATTAAAAAAAAAATAATATAATAGCTTTTTATAATATGTAAAATGCGTTTTTAAAGTTTTAAAAAAACTCTGACGGTTTCCAGAATGATCAGTCTTTACTATTCAATAATTTATAGTGATCAAGTAGCCATTACTTCGTCAATCTGTGGACACAGTCCTTGTGATTATCTCGATAATCCGATCATTATAATGATCGGATTATCGAGATTAGCGGCTTTTTACTGTATACAATGTTATTTAATGGTTAATTCTTCTTTATAATAGCAATTACCTTTAGTGTCTCATTGAAAACAAGAAGTTGGCAGGAAATTTGGAAAGATGCATTTAAACGTATGAATATGCTGGAAATGATACCAAGCATTTTTGTGACTTTAATGTGTGACGTTACACTGTGAGAACTTTGTGTTTTCTTATTGGATGCAATGGAACTTAAAATTAAGTATCTTTGGAAATGGTTATGCGCTTGCGGATGTTGTACACTATTAAAGCATTAAAAGTTGCTATCATTGTTGCGAGTATGACAAATATTATGATATCAATAGTGTTGCGCCCGCGGAACGATGTATCGCACACGCCAACGGAACTCGCGGGAAACAAAGAACACTTTATTTAAGTAGAAGAACAACTTTAATAAGAACAATAATTGAAATGAATACAACGAGTAATCGGGAACACAATTTAAAGATCAGAGCCGTCGCACACGTCCGCCCGAGCAGACAGCTCCTGAAAATCTGACGTCTCACAGTTTATTTACAAACTGTCATAGAGACGTCTAAACAATATCACCATGAAAACATTATTAATAACATTTCAAAGTTGCCAAGAAACAGCTTCTCAAACCGTTGAACGACCGATCGATATTATCGATCGGTCTCTCAGCTGACTTCACACAGCATCAGCGATAAAAAAGCCTGGGCGCAACAATAGTATCAATGATATATCTAAAATCCACAACCAGTTAGGTTTGATCTCCCAGTACTTAAGTTTGTTTTCTCTGCATCAAAATACTTTACACTGCATATAATTAACCATGGTATAGAGTATAAGTTAATCTTGCTAATGCAATCATCTCGATTTTGACTTACAATAACTGTGTCCAAGGATCGGCGAAGTAGCGGCCATTTCATCACTATATACTGTCGAACAGTAAAGACCAATCCATACATTCAGGAAAGCAAATAATGTTTGCAAACAAATCAGAGGAATATCCAATTTATACTCATGATTTATAATTTTTATGAATTCAAATCAACCTACGAATACTGTCACCAAAACACCGATGTCGCTTATCGCAAGCGCACTCAAATAAATGCTGGACGAGAAGTAGCGCAGCTTTGCGCTAAACATACACATACACGGATAGATTGTTCCTCAGTAGAGAAAGACACGAGAAAATCGGTAACGTGTACCGTGAGACGTTATTAAAAATTTTAATTAGAATAAATACTGGACTTTTTTTGTCACTGAGGAAACCAAATTCGTCACTCGTTTTTATGCATTGATTTTAAATGGTTTGCAGCAGTTGTTAATAAAAATAGATTTATTAGAAACTAATAAAATGATATTTTATTTTCTAAATTGCAATGTGGTAAAAGAATTTTTTTTATTTATTATACACTGTGATTTTAGATCGCGATTAAGCTTTCTGAATAGATATTACTACGATTTAAAAAATATGATATAATTTCAGATCATCATCAGAAACATCAATCATACACTGTATAGTTTTTAAGCTTATCTGCTGGTTTGTATTTATATAATTATAAAAAGAAAAATTATTACTTTTAAAAGAACAGGCGCTGTTTTATTTAATAAGTTTCTTATTTAATAAATTAATTAAATGTTTTAATAAAATATTTTTAATTAAATTTTTAATTAAATATTTTATACAATATAAATATGATTAGTTGCACGTACGTTTTTAATTAAAAACAATTTTAATTAATTCTGTTTTGGTCAAGTAATATATAACTTTTGAAAAATAAAGAAAAAAAATAACAAAAAAGATTTTTTACTTTAATATGCTGATCAAATAATTTAAATATGCAAAGAAAGCATAAAATTATATTTAAAAACGTATATACGAATCATATTTTTTAAGAAAAGTCTGATAGGCAAGTAAAAAGAACTTATATACACCTCAAAATATAGATCTTTTTTGCCTATAAAGAAATCATTTCTATCTTTGACAGGTTTTTTTATTTACTTATCAAATCTCGCTTAAAAAACCTCTAAATACATATAATACATTTATTACTTAATGTGAGTTTTATTCGTAAACACTTTTTTTAAAAAGTTGAATATATTATGTAATATAATTGATAAAATACAAATACAGCCATATACAATGAATAAAAATTAATGCAACACATTTTTAATTATAATAATGTATGTATTAAATATGCAAGTATTATACATTTTTAATTAAAATGTATGTATTATAATGTATAATTTCTGAAGAATAAAAAATAATTAAAAAATTTAATATTTTAATATACTAAGAAAACAATTTAAAAGTGCAGAGAAAAATTTATAAAATTATAAACTAAAACATATATGCGCGTTTTTAAATAAAGTCTGATTAGCAGAAACTATAAACTTAAAAATGTTAGCTCTCTTCTATCTGAAAATAAATTAAATTATTTCTGTCTTTAATGGCTATTTTTTATTCGCTGATCGGATCTTACATAAAAAACGTATTTTCTACTTATAATACATATAATATTTAATATGACCGTTATTCGTAAACACTTGTTTGGAAAAGTTAGATGTTATATGATATATTTGAAACCGTGTTGATACTATATGATATAATTAATGTAGTACTTTATGATTACATTATCTTATTACAGTAATTTGCATGATGATATTAATTACACTTCTTCATAATTTTCCATCTCTATATCTTTGTCCCTTCTAGTATCAGAACGTTTCGTAAATATGTGTATCAATTCTCTGCGAAAATTCTTTCCAATTACGCAATAAAGAAAAAAGTTTATTCCGTAATTTGCTAGCCATAATTGGCAAAAGGTCAAAATTAATTCCAAATAATAACCAGAGATCTGTAAATATAATATGATTATTATTATTAACTTATTATTAAAAGATTCTAAACAACAATACAATTTTCATATCGATTGGGTTAAATAATAGGAACAATAAGAAAAAAATTGAATTTTTGAAAGAATTAATTAATAGCTTTTAATAATATAAAAAATGCATTTTTAAAGTTTTAAAGAAACTCTGTATTTGATGATTGATTTCTCTTTAATAGTAACTACCTCTCTTTTCTCAATGAAGCCAAGAAGTTGAAGTAGACGACAAATTTGGAAAGGTGTAATTAAACATATGAATACACTTGAAATGATAAGAAGCATTTTTGTGACTTCAATGTGTGACATTTTATTGTTAGAACTTTGCGTTTTCTTATTCGATGTAACGGAACTTAAAACCAAGTTTCTTTGGATACGATTATGCTTGCGCATGTTGTTCACTATTATAGAGCATTAAGAATTGCTATCATTGTTGTGGGTAAGACAAACGTTATAATAGCATCAAATATATCGAAAATCCACCACCAGTGGTATAAGGTTTTCAACCAGTTTTTATTTTTTGTAGTCATGCACATTGCAATTATAATAATCTTTGGGATAGAGTATAAAACTGCTAATCCCGCCAGTTCAAACACCGCGATTTTCGCTTGGTTGACTGTGCCCACAGAGCAACAAAGTTGCGGCCGCTTGATCGCTATATACCGTTCCATAGTAAAGGTCACTACAATCCACAAACTCAGAAAACCAAATATGGTTTCCAAACTAATCGAAATAGTAGTCGACCATTTTTCATCACTTATTATGTATTCTAATTTTAGCCACTCGTCGATTGTCATCACCAAGTAACCGGTGTCGCTTATCGCAAGCGCACCTAAATAGATGCTGGACGAGGAGTAACGTAGCTTTGTGTAGAAAAACACACACGGATAGACTGTTCCCCAACACAGAAAGACAAAAGAAAATCGATGTGTAGTATTGTGAGATATTATTACAATTTGTAAGCATAAATAATACTGTGTCATTACTGTGTCTCATTTTTACGTATAAATCGTTTGCAGCTGTTGTTAATGAGAAATGAGATTTATTATTGGAAATAATTAGATAATAATTAAGTAATATAACTTATTTTTTGAAATACATTAAAATATAAAAATGTAGTACTGCAATATGCACCGTGACTGAAGACCGATTAAGCCGTTTTGGTGACTAGTGGCGTTATATATACAATATGGTACGTTATATATACAATATGGTGCGTAGAATCAGTTAATTAAATTTTTATTATGACAATTTTAATTAAGTTTTTTTACTTAAACATTGTTAATTGTATATATTTTTTTAATTAGAAACAATTTTAATTTCCTTTTTAATCATGTAATCATAACTTTGTAATTATTACACACGTGCAATGTATTTCTAATTTCTGAATAACAAAAGAAATAATGAAAAATATTTTCCGTTTTCATGTACCGACAGAACATAAAAAGAAAGTATAAAATGAAAAACAAGGACATACAGGGTGTACCGCGAGACTTGTCCCACCGGGAACAGGGAGGTAGATGGAATCAAAATAAATATAAAAGTTCCTTATACCGTTTTACGATATTCGCAATAATAAACGAGAT